TACCATCCGTGTGTTTCTGGGTGCGGTCGTTACCTGGCGCCGGGTGATGGTCACGATCGCTGCCTCTCGTGTCTGGGCACGAAGCACGCTGAGGTGGCTTTCGTGGATGACTCATGCTCCCATTGCGGGGGTATGACCATCTCGGAGTTGCGGACCAGACTCCGTTACCTGCAAGGGGGCAGAGTGCCCGTGCCACTGCCTAGATCCGCAGTTCCCTCTGGTGGCAGCCGGGGCCGCCCTTTTTCTGTCAGTGGCCGGACTGGTCTTACGGTCACGGTAAGGAATTCCCCTCCGGGCAGGCTGGACCCTCCCGGGGGGTACCACCTGTTTCTTCCGAGGCTCCCCCCGACGATCGGATGTCGATAGCAGCATCGGAGGGTGAGCCAGACTTTTCTGGGGATGAAGATCCGTCAGCGTTGCCACCCTCTGGGCGGTCAGCGGTGCCGCAATCGGACCCGGAAATGATGGCTATGCTTTCCCGGGCCGCCGAGAGTGTCGGGCTCGAGTGGAATCTTCCGGGGGGTTGTGGACGGTCCAGAGCCGTATCACACTCACCCTCCTCTCTCGCCAGTGAGCAGCAGTGGGCGGATCGGGAGGACGAACCAATGGACTACCCACGCACCCTCTGCTCGAACGCAGGTCAGTGTTACACACCCAGACCCCGCCTCGGACCGGCTACAAGACGCCCGGGCCCTGCCCCTGCGTTCTTCCGCGCTGCCCCACTGCGGGTACACACCTGTAGTTCCGTTGATGCCACTTGCGCGGTGTCTGGGAGCTTGGCTAGAGCTACGAGGTATAGAGGGGGGCCGTGGAGGATTTAGCCTTCTTGCCCCCTTTTCATGGTCAGTTTTTCATTTATTATTTAATTTCATTTATTTATTATTTGTTAATGTTAGTGAATGTTTACATTAGAGTGCACGTCCTACTACGCTGAAATTAATACGGGGAGCGGCTGGAAACTAGCGACCTCTCCTGGTTGGAGATAGTATTAACATCATAAACTGAAAGCAATCTTTACGTGACTTGCTTTTCAAATGTTCTAAAATTGATCATCTGAGTCTGTAATTAACACAGTGAGAGGCTGAAAACTAGTGACCTCTCCTGGTTGGAGATAGTATTAACCCTCTGGGGTCAAAGACCACACCAGTGCTGTCTGTCTCGTATTTTCTTGATGACTGCGAAAAGAACTAAAAATACTCAATTTTTGATCATACAGAAAATAATAAGTTATCGTTTGAAACTGCAAAGGGTCTTTTATTTGTGTATAATCATAACAACAACAAAATAATGTGCTTTTGTAAAATAAAGAAAACAAACAGGGTGCGCTCTCTGCCGTCTCGGTCTCTGTCACCTCTCTTCACAGACACGTAAATAAAACAACCTGAATCTCCGCGAATACTTGCCTCAAAGACATGAGAAATATATGTATAGAAAGCTTGAAATGTTTATTTTATATAAAGCAAGTCACTTCGAAAACAAATATTCTCTGATAAAGTAATTCGTATGAAACCAACGTGAGCTCCAGTTTTCCCCATCTAAACTCCCGCTTTTCAAATTTTAAACATCCACGTCAGATGCGTGAACATGTAAACGCCCACATCCCCTTCGTAAACAAACGTGAACACTGAAGTTCATCACGGCTACTTTTTATTTCTGGAAGAGAACGTGCTGGGAGGAATAATCCAGAATTTACCTCAGAAGAAGAACACGATGTGACGCGCGGCTTGATCCAGTGGAGGAGATCATTCTCATGAGTAAGATTACTTGCATCTGTTGTTATTGTGTTACTGTGACGTAAGTTGTACAAACTATAATTCCTGACTACATGTATGAAATCAAGTGAAACATTTTGAAATGTGTCATTTCACTACATCTAAACGTCTCACAATGCCAGGATATTTTTTTTTAAATGTTTTTTTGTAAATGTTTTAAATGACATGGTTGCATTTAACCTGCAGTGACACATGCATCTATAATGTTTTAATATTTGAAACATAAAACTTTGAAAACTTTTTAGAAATTATTTAAAAAAAAAAAGAAAAGATACTTTAAATGTGAAATTAAAACCGCCAGTAGGTGGCAGCAAGTCACTGTTAATAAGTGTGTCATTGCGACTGAACCGAATCATTTAAACGGTTGATTCATTCAGGAACGAAACACCTTCATGTTGCTCAGAGACGCAAATTGGAATTATATTTGTTGGCGAAATAGAGCAAAAACTGTCAATATTGCTTCTAAAACTTAAGTGTCTTAATATTAAATTCTTGTTTATTGAACTGCTGTATAAAATCAATATCACATTTGTAATCATGCTGCTTTTTGGTGTTAAAAAACGTCAGTCTTCGCGTGATACTGATTAACCATATGAAATTATATAAACGTATACATTTCTGCCTCCATATCTTGAATTTTGTGATCATTCTAAATGCATTTTAATAAACTGAATCATGCAGTGAAAGAACGTACACTGGTATAAACTACTAGACTTCCTATTGCCTTAGCTAAACTTTAGCTAACATACATGGTAGCTCTCATGAGTCATGGATGTTAGCAAGACAAATTAACTATATTTGCCTTTTAGCTGTAAATTCGAGGCACAGGTAGCTTAATCTTTCGTTCATCACATTATTCACCACTCACCTCCACACCAAGACAAACACAGTGGAAAGAGAGGGAGGGAGGGCTTCACTTCTGTGGCTCTCTGCCTTTCAGTGATGTGCATGTGCCGATCAATGTGTGCTACACTGCTGTGCTGTGGAGACGTGGAGGAGAGAAAGTCTCAACATTTCCCAACCCGACCTGATATTTTTATTTTTTATTTGTTTGACAGGGAAAGCTGTGTGCAAACAGAAACACACGCACACATATATACATATATTCATTTAAAAAATAAAAAAAAAACTTCCTCTCGAGGAAGAAAAAGGGCAGGTGCTCAAGCCCTTTTTGATGTCTATGTGTGCACGTGCCTGATGCTTTGAGCTGCATGATGCATCAGTAACAGTAAGGTATTATAGTCTCTTTTTTTCTCTTTATGACATTAATACTGCAGCTGATATAGACAGTAAGATCAGTGTGTGTGTGTGTGTGTCCTACTGAGTGACCATGTGTTTCTGTGCTTTTCTCAACCTGTTTGTGTTGACTGAAATCAGTAATTTAGTTTTTAATGTAATGTCACATCTGATCACACCCTCACAGTACAGTAGCAGCAATCATTCAAGTGCTGCAGGAAGATGCACAAACTCAACATTTAGTGTTGCAATAAGCACTAATAGTGATGACTGATTAAGAAAACAGCACAATTAAAGTGAGCTCATGGTCTGTCCAGCAGGGGGCAGAGTTGA